ACAGATTCAGACTAACACGGCTACCCCTCTGATACTTGCAATAGATATGAGACACTTAACGATTTCAACAGAAGCAAAGCCACACTTAGGACAAATTTTGGCCACAGGCACGATGATAGGCAGACTTACAGACAAGGGAAATATGAAAGAGAAAAAAAAGGAAATGTAAAGATTACTTTAGCAACTATCCAAGACTTCTGAAAAGGCTGTCCTTCATATTCCTGCATGTCACTGTTCATGCAAAAAAAAAAAATCTAGACTAATTAAAATTGGGGGAATGGGAAGAAAACTTATTTTGGACAGATCACTGGCTTTAAAATGCCTGACGGTTTCTGATTTAGCACAAGTTTGAGGTTTACTCAATCACTACCTCCTTAGAGAGTGTCAATTTGAAATATTGTCAATACAAAAAAAATTAGTTAAAATTGATTCAGATACTACTCCTGCCTATCAAAAGCACAAAAGTTTTTTTTTTAAATAGAGAATTTTTCTCTCTCTTATCTTTTACATTACTTGCAAGTGGGTAGGTTAAAAAAATCAGACTTTGATGTCCCTTTAAAACAAAAAACTCTTCTTAAAACTTTTTCTTAAGCTAAATCAAACCTAGGAAAACTGCCCACAAAAATACCAGTCATGTTACAAACCTGTTTTTAAGATTTTATTTCATGCTTCCTTTTAACACATTCCACTGCATAACCAATATCAAAATAAGTACTTCTAGAACTTGAAATCTTGCCTTTTCTACGAGTTGGGAGGAGAAAGTGTGGAAATTGACTGTGTTAATCTGCTATTAAAAACAAATCTGGATTAAAAAGTACAATTTTTCACAACAAAAAACAAGTCCCTTTTGTTGTATAACATTTTCTTTTGGGATAATTTTAAACCATGATCCTGCAACTGACCCTCCATGGCGAAACCCAAATTTTAACAGGGCTTCATGCAGCTTGCAGGACTCTGCACAATGAAAGTCAATATAGAAGCTGTACCTTAGTAAAAAAAAAAGCTATGGGTTAGCATCTAAAAATAAAAATATCACAGGGTTCACCCAATACACAAGCACAAGTTCCTGAGTAACCTTCCTGGCTTACATGAACCATCAATGTATTATCATTTCTCAATGAAAGAATCTAGCTGTCTTCTTCAATGAAAAAATAATTTAAATACATGTCTGAAAATATTAAAACCTATTTAGCGCATAAGAAGTGCAGAAAACGAAGCAGCAGAAGGGTAGGAGAAACAGTCCAAGACAGAGGGCTATGTCAAGCTCGGTGTGACTACATAAATGAGTAAGCTTTTTTAAAATGATGAGTGAGATTAAATGTCTCATTGAAACACACATTTGCAAAACTGATCCTAAAAGGGAGATACTTGGAAAGGAAAAAAAAACCAGCCTGAAAATCAACTGAAAACGAGTGAGACTAGGTAGAAAAAAACAGCAGCAGCTCACATATATACAGCACATCTCCTCCCAAAGCATGTTACATATAATTACAGGGCACCCCTACAATGCAGCTGCCTCTGGGGTGGAGGGCAGACACTTACAACAAAGAGCACATTACAAGACGCAGGGCAGAGTGATGATGGTACGGTGGGTCTTTATTTATTTCTTTTTTTAAGTGTGACAGGATGTTCAACACCCCAGGTCAGAGCCAGGCACTTGTGCAAGGCCTCCTACTAGGCATGCAATTACACACCCACCACTGAGATGCAGCCAGCTGAGGCAGAGCAAGCTGCGGAAGACAGAGCTGTTTAAAACTCCTTGCTGTGTTTGGGGGAAGGAAGGAAAGCAAGAAATGCACGAGCAGGAGGGTCCCGAAGGCAAGGCTGCGGGGTAGCAGCCCAGTCCCTGCTATGGGCTCGGCAGCACCCTCCAGGGGCACGAGGTGTGGCTCAGTCTGTGCAGCAGGGCAGCCCCCCGCAGCCACGTTACCTGATTAAGGCCACTACTCTCATGCTGCTCGCACCCCCCCGGGCTGGGCTGACACTAAGGGGGGAGCTGAGATACACGGGCGCTACTACAGGCTGCAGCCGGCGCCCTCCTTCCCGAGCCACGCGCCGTTCTACACGCTCGCGCCGCTGCCGCCCGGCCAGACCCGCCCAGGGCAGCCCCGAGGCTGCCTGAACCAAAGGGCTTGGGGTGCGGGGCGACCCGCGCCGCTCTCCCTGCGCCCGGCCAGCGCCCTGCCCCTGCCGCTCGGGCCGCGGCTGCAGCGGCGGGCGGGTGAGCGGCGCGGGGCGGCGAGGGCTGAAATGCAGGCACCGCGCTGGTCGCCTATGCGAGGGCAGACGGGAGGCGCTGCAGGGAGGCCTGGGCTGATCCTGGGGGTGTTCGCGGCGGGCCCGCGGCTCAGAGCCGTTCCAGGGCGTGACATCAGGATGAGTCACCTCTGAGCTGTCAGCGCCTGCCCTGTGTGCTCATCCTGCTTACCGGAACCTGTTTCCCCCTGACAATACCCTCTCTAGCTAGTTATTATTGGCAGTGATGCAGTACCCGGTGTTGTCCCTGGCACCAACAGAAGTTGGTCCAATAAAAGATATTACCCCACCCACCTTAGGGCTCTTACAGTTAAGGTTGCCAATTTTGTTTGGACATATTCCTGGAGTTTCATCACATGGCATAATCTTTAATTAAAGATTAATCTTTAATTCCTGCAGACTCCAGGACAACCCTGCGTATAGTTATCAAAGACTGCCCACTGTTTTGAATGGTGCTGAAAGTAAGACGGCTTGTTTGTTTCATTCCTATTCAACGGCCGCAGTCTGGAAAGGCCCTTACCTGACGCAATGAAGTTTAAAGCAAGTTCTCCCACTTTTTTGGGGAGTAGTTAAGAAGAGTTTGGCACAGTTTACAGGCACTTGTCTCTCGGTTGCAGATGAAGGATGGCGGGGTGGGAAGTTGAAATGGGGAAGTTAGTTTGTTATTTTAAAAGTTATTAAATAAAAAACAGGAGAGTGTGTAACTCTACTCAGATGTTGAATAACAGTGTCATCAGTAGATCAACAGCAGCAACAACACACCCACGCACCCTGAAACTAAGGATATTCATCTGCTGATTTGGATTCAAACTTTGCAATTCATTCCCAACATTGTAGGGAATCAAATAGTAATATTGAATACAAACACCTTGGAATTCAGATCCAGAAAAAATCCCTTTGTAAATAGTGGTACAAAGTCAACAAGGTTGTAAATATGTAACTAAAAGCAGAATATGTCACACACTCTATTTTAGCCATCTATGACTGCATAGCTTGTGGCTTCCAAAGCTACCGAACATGTCCCCAGGATAGGAGATGGGAGAGTGACCACATGTGGACAGCTCCAAATCAAGAATTAAAAGTGATGAACTGAAGATTGTGCATGGGGCTGGTAACCCCACTATGTAAACACAAACTTACTAAAGAAATAAACACTGGGAGCCAAACTTGAAAAAGAGCTCCACTTCCTATGAAGTATATGATAGGCATTGGTCAAAGTTGTAAGGAAGCCTATGTCCTGAAAATTCCCTTGCTCAAGCCAGATAAGTAATGAAAATCAGCCTTTGGAATATGAGAACTATGTACAAAGCTAAGAAAGCTATTCAAGCAATTAAAATAAATGGATAGATACCGTCTTGATGTCCTTGGAATCAGTGAGGGTAGATGGACAGGTTCAAACAAACTTCACTTTATAATATGGACACCACTAGAAGAGAAAAAGAGTGTGACCTAGAGAAACATTATGCAGAGCAATAGAAGAAGCCAGATCCATCAACATGACACGTAGAAGCCTGAACAGACCAGCATAAGACCAAAATAAATGGCAGAAACTAGTAGATGCCCTATCCATCTGAGGGTGCAGGAGGATAAAGAAAAATGCTGCATATGCTGAATCAGGAGAAAGCTTCAGGGTGTATCTGTTCCCTGGTTGGGAGAGGCATTCATCCAAGGAGTTTCACTTTGGGGATTGTGCCAGTTGCCTCAACTATACTGCCAGTAGGCATCCTGATCACCTGCACTAAATGCACCCTTTAGGCTAGCTCCAACCTTATCTGACTGGGTGCCACCCACCCCAGTGTTCTCATGTCTTCCTGTGGGACTCAGGCCTAGGGTTGCATGAGCTAGTGACCCTCCACTTAAATCTAACTACTATGAAAGCCATAAATGTGTTTGCCTTGGATCAACCTGATTCACAGCCTACAAAAATCAATCTGATAAACAAGGGTCAACTCCAAATGCCCATCAAATTCCCTGTGAGAATCATCTTGAAAATGAAAACAGAGTGGAAACAGGATGGAAAAGACCCCCTCAGAAGACCTAAAACACGATGGATGGACGGTATCAACAGACACATGTCCTTTCACAGGCATCCTACCCTGTAACATGTCAGATTTGGCTCAGGACAGACCATCATAGCTCATTCGGTGGCCTCCCTGCTGTCCAAGTATATTATAAGAACTAACTAAACCTATCTTAATTTGTTCCCTGCCCCAAGCACTATGTGCTGCTCCAGCACCATAAGAGAGATGGAATGGCTCCCTGGGGTCTTTCCAGGAGTGAAGTGTTGGCATTAGGCCAACATTAGGCACTCCTATTCAACCTTCATGCATGGCCTCCAGAACAGGGCAGTGTGTGGGGAGTGGTTGGAGCACTTGGCATTTGCATTTCGGAGCTGTAGAGCATGGAATGTTGCTGTACATCCCAGTATTCCCACGCATTGAAAAATTATGAGTTAGCCCCCCAAAAAATCATGAGATAGGCTTAAAATTAATGGAATTTTAAAAACTAATTAATTTGGGGTTCTTTTTATTGTCCTTTGTTTTTTGAGGCATTGGGGCTCATATTTTGAGGACTTGAAACCTACTTTTTAAAAAATTCTCATGTAGACCCTCCACGTCCACTCCAGGAGCTGAGGCTTTAAGAAAATACCAAATATCAGAACACTTGTGATAAATTAGAGGAGCCCTTGGGGAGCCTTTGTGCTAGAGTCATCATAGTAACCCAGAATTAGGGAGGTGCCAACGTGGCATAAAGCCACATAGTTTATACTATATATATATATATATATATATCATCACACACAGAGAGCATATTATTGGCTCTTAGGCAACAATAAATAAGAACATGTAGTTGTTAGCATTACTGTTAAAAATAATGATGCGGTGTTTCCAAAGAGAAACTACAAGAAGATAAATCAGGTCTATTTTGGGCCTCCATATAGTGCAACAGTCTACCATGCACATTGTAATTTGTAGGATCAGGGCCTAAATATGAAATACCACACAGGAGTCAACATAGCCTAGAATGAGGATTATCAACCTGGTTTTATAAATAAGTGTCAGAGAGCCACAGCTACCCGGCCCCTACCATCCTTCTAAATTGGAAAGTAGTCCTGGCTATATCCTGGAGTGATGGGAGGTCCCAGTAGGGGGAAAAGGTTAAGAACCAGTGTCCTCGATCAAAAATAAAATTGGAATATAATATTTAAATATGCCAGAATCAGTTGAGTAGGGCCTAGTAAGACAAATATAATATTTTAGGAAAATGTATAGTACATGATACAATTAAAATCAAAATGTTTGTTTTATGTAGAAGCAATCACAAGAACTTGTAAATATAAAATAAAAGTTCGCAGTTATATCCAGAGCTGAAATTGATAATACATGAAATTGCTAATTGCTGCCTTAGTTTAAACTTTTGTAAAAAGACAAAGGAAGTATTTGTAAAAGCTGCAATAAATATTTGTGAAGGCTAGGTAACCCATAAAATGGGTTGCTGGTAAATTTATTGTATTTAGAATACATATGTACAGCTGAGGGTATTTAAAAACTTACATTTATCCCATTGAACCATTTAAATGGAAATCACAATATTTTAAATAATTCCCCATTTTAAATATAGAGAAGTCCAAAATGCTGCAAACAGCATTAATAGCAACAGTGGAAAATGACAAGTGTTTAAGGGTTCCCATTCATCCGGACTTTATACTGTACACAGTGGATACAGTCTTTCCAGTCCCTTGCTGGATTTGGGTCACAATATAGTATGAACTGAAACAGCACATTAAAATGCATGGCAAATATATATATATATATATATAGGTCAAATGTATTTTTTTTAAATAACCTCAGGGTATGTTCTGACCATCATAGACTAGCAATTCACAAGACAAAACCATTTATTTTATTGATACCATTTACAAAGCAGTCTGAATTTTCTTTAATTTGATGATCATGCATTAATACAATAATTTTATAATGTTTATTCTCAGAAATTCTTCCTTTTACTATTCAGAACAATGTAAATGATCTCAATCAGATGGCTTGGATGTAAAATGCTAGTGACTCTCAGAAGGGATGGTAACTTTATTTATTTACTTATTTTTGGAGTGAGGAGGGGAATGCAGGCCTGTTCTGAATTAAAACTGTAAATCCAGGGATTGTAGAGATTTTAAGTGGGATTACCAAATTAAATGAAACAATAATGCATAATAATCTCATCTGATGGGAAATAACCACCTGCCTAAAGAACTGTAAAACATGTAGCACCAAAGTACTTTGTTTGTATTGCAAAAACTGTGGTTATTTTATCATACCTCTCTACATTTGCATTCTTTGAAAGATGTTTAAATATGTTTTTATTTATGTTTATAAATTCAGGAATTCAACTAGTAGCTGTGAACATTTAAAAGCTGTTGTCTTAAAAAGCTTAGCAACAGTGTATGAAAAGTCTAAGAAATCATGTACATAAATTATTCTGCCTTTTTGAAAAACTGGGGAACCCATAAAACCAGTTGCTCTAAGCAGACAGCTTTATAATACAAGTTCCAATACTTGTAATAGCTGTGTTCTAAATAGTGTATCATTCCAAGACTAGAAAGAAGAATTCTTCTAAAGTACACTCCATCCTCAAAGTCTCCATTATTAGTAATCTACCCTGATATAACACTGTTGTTCCATCTGCCAGGTCTGTTGCAGTTCATTATACATTCTTTCAAAAGACATAACTCTGTTTATAAACTACTCAGCCCTTTCATTTGAAGAACAGAAGTGTAATCTCAACCAAAGGCAACAACACAGATCCTAAATTAAGAATAATTTCCAATTCCACTGTCCTGTTGGTAAGCATAGGAGGCAGAGAG